TCTTATATCTTCAAGGAAATCGGAATCTTCGGCAAAATCAACTGTGAAGAGGACTCGTCCGGCAACAGATCCTGGTGCTCAGCCGGTCAGACCCCCGAAAAGAAGAAGCGGTGACTCGTCTGTCTCTTAGTCCTTTGCATCAGTACGAGTTTTTTGCCTGGATTGTCTGGAACTGGGAAAATTGGATATACATTTTGGTCCACTTTACAGTGATTTTGACCGTAATTTTTCTTATCAGCAAGTGACTCAGATTTTAGCTTGGAATGCATATTCTCGGAACTGCCATTGTGGCGATTGCCTTGATTTGCTTGCCGGGCGATTCAATTCCTTGAGTAACTTGGTCTTACTCATAAGGTAAATTTTGTTAGCCAGTGTTGTGGAGATCACTGTTGCATGTAAGAGTCTTATAAAACCTTTTGACCCTCGGTGGCCCCATTCGAATAATCTTATGCATCTCAAAGTTTATAATTATCTCATTGTATCCAAGGAGTTTCGAGAAGCCCTGGACCTCTGAAGCACCATTTTTTGGGATGGCGAAAGGCACTCAGTGCTGTATCAGATGGTATATTACTTGTGTAACAGAATTTTATTCCTCACTTGTCATTCGAAAGGTAAGTAGGTAACTATGTATTTTTGTCCCCAGTTGCAGAGTGAATCGGTACATAATTAACGTATCACCAGTTAATCGATCTTTAGCATTGTTCTTTAGTGCATGTAGCGTTGTTTACGAAATTGCCGGTCCACGACAGCCGATCTTATGCTATAGACTGCTCTAAAAGAGCATATCTTTTCCTGAATATCATGAGTCACTAGGATTGTATATTACATTTCTGTTCATCATTCTCACTTTTTTGGCCATGGAGTGCATGCTTTTGCCCTTTACATATTCACAAAAATTGTTATCTCAAATTGTTTTTACGTTTTTAACAAAAATTAGTACTTAAAAAAAATAATCATCCCTAGTTTGACCAACTGTTTTCAGTTGTAAAGTGATAGTAGTTAGAATCATGTGTAATTAATTCCTCATTCCTCGTTCTTTTCTGTGATTAGTTCGAAATTATTCATTTATTTTAGCTTTCTTTTTTAGGAATATAAATAGAAGAGCGTGAGTACCAAGGTGTACTAACATGTCCCTTTTGGTTTTGACTTTGACCTTAAGATGAAGAGGGTTGGATCACGTACGTACACTTTAGTAAGTCCTTGATTAATTGTCTATGATTAGCAGTATTTTGCTTAGCACACATTTCCAATCCGCATTCTGTGGTGTTGATAAATTAAATGCTAATCACGAGAAGCCAACTTTAATTACTGTTACTTCAAATACGTAAAATTATTATGACCTACACATGCAATCATTTCTACTTCAAAGGACAATAATATAAATAATATAAACTATTGGTGGTCTGGAAATTATCGAAATTACTACTTGTAATTATTTATTTAGTAATTTTTATGATGGGGTGTAGCGAATCACATTCACATGGAAATCTTGTGTGCCATCTGCCACGATCTACTAAGCAATTTAAATACAGTACAGAAAAAAAAAAAGGCAAAGTACATGAAGATAGCAGAGCTAAATAATGCCATGGAATATGAATCAAGTGGCATTTAATGGTTTTTTCACAATTAGCAGAAAAATAAGTTGTGCAGAAGGGTTATTGAGAGAAGTCAACTTTGGATTATGATTTCTTTTGGCAGCAAACGAATTATGCACACTACATTGACCATTTGGAGGGTGTCATCTTTTATGTAATTAGATGGATTTTTGAATTTTATATAAACCCAAGTATTTTATTAGAGTTTTATTGATTTTATTCCCATCGATAGATTTCATTCTTTGTTATTTATCAACTTCAATGTTAAACAAAGTAACCAATACCAATGTATTACAAAAACGAGGTTGGATACATAAAACCTTTTCACAGTTGTTCGCCTATATTTTTATAAAACTTGACCGTAAGTGTATAGCTTCGCTTGTAGTATGTGGCAAACAATGTCGTATCCGAAGAGACTAAATAATTAATATATCAAGTTTCAAATTATGATAGTGTCAACTTTATTTAGACCATCGAATATGAGATGGATTAACTAAACTAAGAAAATAAATCAAAGGAAATAAAGCAAAAATAAAGAACTAGCTAAAAAAACACGTAAGAAAATACATGGGAATGATGGTTTCAATTAATAGTTGGGTTCCTTCACAAATATCACAACTAAATGTTCCTTTATCTACCCTATAAGATGATCACAAATTTAGCTTATCGTCCATCTAGATATTGATAAAACCGTAGATTAAATCACATATATTAGCGTCTCCACTCAACACATGCAATTCAACTCCAAATAGACCAAAAGATCAAATATCCTCACAACGACCTACTAGTCTCTCGATTCAAGCAAGTAAATTGTGCCAAATATTAAAGACCTAATATTAAACTCATCTCTCGACTTATGAACAATATTGTCAAACATGTAAAAACATTTGTCAAGTGCTAAACATGAAATAAGAGCAAAATATTTGAATAGGGTCAAAAGAAAAATAATTAATATAAATAAATCATCCAAAATCCAAACATATTAATTTACTTCCAAGTCTACAAAACAAATAATCAAGCTACTCATGTTCGAATTCAAATACATAAACATATTAAAAATTAACATGATAATAAAAGTTCAAAAGAAAGAAGAAAGAAAAACTAGTTATCTCGTCGATCTCTCAATCTTCTTGATTCCTTCGTAGTTGATCTTCTTTTACTTCCCAATTGCTTCTATTGTGTGTTCTAGGGTTCCTCCCCTTGTGTTCCACGTTCTCCCCTTTGTATATCAGGTTTTTCTCCTCTCAAAATAGGGTAAATATTCCTTTTATAATGTCGAAAACCCTTCTCCTTTTTAAAATAGAGAAGATATTAAAAAACAGTCTGCGTTCGCGACACGACCATCCTACTCGTGTCACCGTTCGTGTCGCAGCCCGTGTCACGTTTTAAGCTTTGAAATTTCACTGTTGAGGTGACACGGCCTCTGACACGGGCATGGTGCCCATGTCACAAATCTGCACTCTGCTTTTTGTTCTTTTCACTCGTTTCTTCCATTTTTTTCATCCGGTCATCAATCTTTCATCATCCCGGGGTTCCTAGATACTCACCATGCGCCACCAATAATGAAAAGCTCTGCAAATATGTGGAAATATCTACAAAATAAGCATGCATAATACCTTTCCAACAAGATATAGAATAAAAACACAATAATGATTTGTACACCAATAATGCAATGAATAAGCTCTAGATACTATATAAATATGGTGTGAAATCACACATGAACAACAGTAGATAATTTCTTTACTGCTCTCTTATTTCTTCTCATTATGCAAAAGATAAGGGCTTTCTATTTACTTCTCATATTTCATCTACTTCATTTACCCATGTTTATGTGTACCTAGGGCTGTAAATGAGCCGAGCTGAGTTGAGCATTGGCCTTATCAAGTAGGATTGGTTTTTTTTTTTAGCTGCTCGTGTTCGAGCCGAGCTCGTTGGGGCCGATTTATTAGAGCTCAACTAGATAAATACGTACAATTGCTTGAGCTCGACTCGAAATCAAAATGCTCGAACTCGGCTCAAAATTTTTTCGTGGAAAAATAAAATTATCATTAAACATCTATGCTATACTATTGCAATATGTATGTATATATATGGGTATTTTAGTAATTCAACATATATCTCACGCCGCTCGAAAATGCAAAATATGAGCTCGAGCTCGAGCTCGAGTTGTGCTTTAACTCGAGCGCTCACGAGCCGCTCGGTTCGTTTGCAGCCTTATGTGTCCAGTACCACGTAAATTGGGTTCCGATGCCCAAATCTAAATAAAATATAAAGGAGAGTACTATAAAATCAAAAGGCAGTGTAGTGCAATGATTCAAAATTCCTCCTACGAAAAGAATCCTTTAGATCTCAAATCCTACCTTGTTATGATATCTCAAAGTCGTTTTAAGATCCTTGATCATATCAAAATAGACCTATATGTATTATGTAGTAAGATATCCATTTATAAAGTTTCTATATGATGTCTCATCACATTATAAGTATAGTGTAAAAGATGCTGTTTATTCAATGTAATAAGAATGACATATAAAATACTCTTTAGTTTTAAAATGATTGTCTATTTGACTCTTATCATTTTGCCAACAGATCCCAAATGGTCTCTTACATTTAGTTACTTCGAAAAAAAATATTAGTTAGAGGGAATAATTATTAACAACAAATATCCTAAGTAGTATAAGTTAGGAAGAACAAAATATCGATAATGGTTATATTAGTGAGTATATGAAGCTAAATATGCCTAACATGATGTTATATATTTACAGAATTTTATAAGTACAATAATGCATCGACTGAGCAAAATTTTAAAATTGGTCCTATAACTTGGTCATTGTCCAAAATCCCACCCCGCTATTGACCACTTTCAATCTGGGTCCTATAAATTGACCATTTAATCATTTTTGGTCCCTTTTTATGAACCCCGGATAAAAAATTGACGTGGCGTGACATGGCGTGACATAGCATGTCTTTTATCTAATGTGGAATGATTGTGTTTTATGTGGCGGGATAAGAGAAAGGCGCGAACGTATAAGATTTTGCCCTCAATATTCTGTAACTTTATCGACATTTTCCAGATATTCATCTGAAAACTTAAATTCCACACACCTTCCTTCCCAAATCTCTGAAAACCTAAAATTCCACACAATTTCTTCGACTCTCTCCTTCCCGAGGGGTTGAGAAAGCAGAGGATGATCTCGATTTACACACGAACATGGTTAGTATAACTTTTGAAATTAGGGTTTTGTAATTTTGAAAATTAGTGTTTATAATTTTTGAAATTGGGGTTTACAATTTCTGAAATTAGGGTTTTGTAACAATTTCATAGAGTTTCCCTAAAAAATGCCCTAGATGCACTGAGAGGATACCGGAGAGGGGAAGATCGTAACACGACATTTATCGACTGGTTAGGGGAGGTTGGAGTTGCTTTTGAGAAAGGGGTACTGCGAGTCAAAACATCAAGAAGTTTTCAAGTTTGGCTGGGATAGGACCCTAAGTGGTAAAACACTTAGTTGGACAGGTGATACTCGATACTAAGCCTACTGATAACGGTGAGCCATTTGAATTTGAGAATGAGCTGAGAGCTGAGCTTCCGCAAGGTCCGCTAATGGTGTCTATTCGGACGACGCAGAGGTTGATAAATCTGACATCGGATAAAATTTGCACGATGGCCTCGGTC